TTCGCTGCCTTTTAAGTTATTATCTCATTTAGTACTTTATGAAATATCGGTAAAAGTGTAGGTTTTTTTCTAATCGATAATTTTTTTATTGTCAGTACGAGTTTTCCTTTTTACGTTTTTTTATATAATAAGGATGACAAATGAGCGCATAGTCCATCTGATGGTACGTGGATGCTGTGGCCAATAGATATTTACATCTATCCTCGATTAAGAATCAAAAGGCAGATGCGTTGTCACCCCTGAGGACTAAGATGGAATTTATCGGTTCCAGTTACAGCGAGTATCCAGTTTTCTACACTCACCATATGAAACACAGCAGCACTGAGCCGCTATTTGACGCTGGTATTCTGTGAGAGCGTGGTCCTTTCCCTGTCGAGCCGACCCATTCGTGTTACTACCATAATATAGCTGCAGCGTGGCTCTACCACGTGAGAAATCCGCAGTCATGTAACCCTCATCATTTCGTTTTGTCCATTAAATCTATTGTGGCACAGCATTATAACAGCTGGAGTTTATAACCAAAATACGTCAAAAACTGATTATTATTTTAGGTTCCAATACGTTTTGGATTTTTTTCACTATTTTCTAGCATTAAGGGTGACAAACGAGCACAAAATTTACCTGATAGTAAGTGCACTTAAACCTTAAGCGACATCAGCTAGATGATAATGGTGCGGATAACGGACTTGGATACATAAAGGTCGTGGATTCGAATTTGTCATTCAATTACTGTCGTGAACCACTCCTAACACATACAGGCATTTCAAGCTTAATTAGAGTGGTTAAAGATAAACTTAGTAGTGTTAATAGAACACTGCTGAAAAAAAACATATTCACAATAAGGAGTCAATATGTAGACGAATTGTCACTCCCGAGGACTGTTATGAAATGCTTCGTTACCAGTGAAAAGGGTCTCCGGTTCTCCATTCAAAATACAGCAGCTGTTTCACGCTGTTATTCTGTGCGAACGTGGCCCTTTTCCGTAAAGCCTATCCACTCGTGCTACAACCATAAATAGCTGCAGCGTGCCTCTACCACGTAATTAATTGCTATAAAAGAAAACATTACAGTTTCGATATATTACCTTTCTAGGATCACGCTTATAAAATATTTTATAAAATAGATATTACAAAATTGCAAAAACCATAGTGAAGTCTCCACACATAGTCCGATGGGACAACAATTCGGTACGACCGGAGACAGATAAGGCGCAGGAACCACAACGTTATGTGCTTTTCAAGGCACGGGGTTAAATCATCGTCAACATCCTGACTCCGAGCTGCTACTGAAAATTTCTTCACAGAAAAACCCAATAACTGAATTTTGGCCTGACCAGGCAATCGAACCCGTGACATAATCTGCAGCATAATACAGCTGCGATAAAACTCTACCACATATATATTATATACCTTAGAACCCACTTTTTAACATATTAACATAATAATCGTTTGTTTAGTACAGTGCATAATTATAACATACACAATAATAAAACTTGTGAACATGCATATGTTAGGGGATTTCTTGACCATTTTGTGGCCAGTCATTTATTTATAAAACTCCTTTACAACGAAATCCTATAAAATCAATACCAGTTTACTAAACTGGTATTGATTTTAAGCTCTATGTTTATGTGGGACTTATAGCAAAAAACAATTGTACATACTGTGTTACATGCCTAGCATGTCGTAAAGGGCGACTAATCTATACAAAATACCACTGACTGACTGACTCATCATGAGATCTCTAAAAATATACACCCGAATGGCTTGAAATTTAGTATAGTTACTCATTTCGCAATGTAGATGTTAAATCTTGATATTTTATATCTAGGTTCCGCAATAAAATAATTATTGTGTGACCAGCGAAGCGAGCGGATATCAGCTAGTAAGATATAGGGTTTATGATTTCATACGATTTACCATCTAAACCCATATATTTTGGCTCAACGTGGTTCGAGGATCTAGCTTCTCTTTAAGCTTTGTTTACCCCGCGGGGATTACCGGCGTGAAGCTATGAAGCATTGTTAATATTATAACAGATTTTTTTATTAAACAGACTTAAAAAAAAGGCTTAGGCTTAGGCAATACACGAACGATAATAACATCTGGGAATAAGGTGATAACCATTAACTATCATATTGTTTTTTTTAATACTTTGTACCATCACATTACTATTTTTCTTCTATCGTGGAGGAGTTAGAGAGAAGTTTGTGATAGGACTTGGTTGCAGGACCAGTAGGTCTTTTCTTGCTTGGAGTCTAGCAATGGAGGCCTACCCAGAGGCCTCCATTGCAGTTTCAGTCTGAAGGATATAGAGAACAGGAATAATTACAAGCTGTGAAGCATACCATCTTAATCTGTAGAATGTGTACACGAGCTAATATTCAGACCTCAAGAAATTATGTGTAGACATTACAAACAATGTGTTCTGTGCGGGATTCGAACCCGCGGACTCGTAGCACCGCAACCAACCTTTAGCCTTTCATCTAGCGAGTCGTTTATTACCAAAATAGTTTATTTTAATAGGTATTTCTATAAGAGGTATATGACTATAATTTTGTCAACTATTACATTTTAAAAACCAATCCCGCAAGATAAAGGAAAACGAGTATTGATTTCTAAGATCCCAATAACCTGATGTCACTTATTACAGTTTGAGTTTACCTCGTGCTCCTTGGCAAAGAAAAACATTGCGAGGTATTAATAAAGAACTGGATAAGAGCGAGGAGGAAATACGCCCGGAGGGTTCCGTATATACTTAATTATGTATGTAGATAGTTTATCCTCTCTCATCATCTTAGGAATTATAGGTAAGATAAGCACCAAACATAAATTAGTCACATTAAAGGGCAAACTTAACTTTGTAGTAAATTTTTTTTACCGTACAGCAATCTACCTAACGGTCATAGTGTATGTAATGCGGATATCAAGATTCAAGATCCCTTGAGACGGTGATATCTTCAAGGGAAAATGTAAGGTTTTAATCGCTAAAAATATTATTAACGATTATCGGAATTTTGCCTTCACTTGTGCTTGAAAACCTTGTTTCTCGTCAAATCTTATGGTGTTAGGTCCACGGGAAGTTATAGGTTTTGATGAGTTAGATCGAGAGTAGCAAAATTTGTGACATATGTAAGTGTTCTATCGTATCGTATCTTGTGTACGCGTTGACTTAGAAGCTTGAATTTATATTAATATTATATTATATTTGAATTATTACTACGATGGGGAAAAAGGTTCTGGAGTGGAAGCGTCGTATTACATAAATAATATATAATATACTTATTGCATAAAATTATACCGGTCAGCGAATTGTGGGGTAAGGCCCGCCTAAGGCCCGGTAAGGCGAACTCCGAAACGGAATCCCGGAACGAAATTCCGTATATATGTGGCGGGCCTAAGAGATGAAGTAAGTCGATGCAGGTGGCTCAAGACCGTGCTTTGTGGCGTTTCTTGGGAAGGCCTATGTTTAGCAAAGGACATGTAAAGGTCTGTAACGATGATGATGATTATGAAATTAACAAAAAAAAAACTATTAAAATTTCTACTAGTATTCCCATTCACTATTTCAACTAAGCTTCTTTGGCCAACATAGGTTTATTTTCCAAGCGGTCTAGGTCCAGGTGGCACCAGGTAATTCTTGGGAGTGTACCAAATAATTCTGGGGTAAGCACAGCCAATCCGGCTCTCCTCGTCCCATATTATATGCCAATAGGTTCACATTAGTAAGAGAATGAAGTATACGAATATACGACCTTTGTTTTACAGTCCGTACTATTTAATGAATCGCTTAATTTAGGTAATTTGCTAAATAAAGCGGCAATACTTCATTTTCACTTAGGCTACCAAAAATTCACTACAACTGTAGTGATGACGACCAGTTTTGTAAATTTCGCAAATGGATGCTTATATGTACCAAACATTGCACACTTTTTTATCTTGTAAGTAGTCTTATTTTTTTATTATTATTGCACCAATGTAATTATTTTAAAAAAAAAATACTAGTAATGCTGTTAAACATTACTAATATTCCTTTTAACCACTTCTGGTAAGCTTAAAATGCTTGTGTTAGAAGTGGTTCACGAGAGTAGTCGAATGGCGGATTCGAACCCACGACCTGTCGAGTTCGCTGTCCGCGCCCTGCCATTAGGCTACTGACGATTCTTAACATGTTAATTAAAATATATTAATAAATAAATATAGTATCTACCTAGTACCTGGAGTTAGACATTCAGTGGAGAAATGGCGTGTTCTCGTATTGTTACTGAAGCTTGCTAAATTTACATGGAATAAAGTGCGCATCGTATAAGAGACCATTATGAATTTCTTGTACGGGTTCAGTAAATATTATAAAGTAGTTTCTAAATAGAGCGTGCAGAAGTAATCTGGCCACGAATATTACACGGTTTGCGGTGGATCATAGCGTTATTCTTAAAAAAAAAATCTGGTGACAAACGTGCATTCAAGTTTACGCTCAACAAATTTCATCGCCTATGATTGAATAGCGGTAAAGTGATATAACCGCGAGGGAAATATGGAGCGGATAAATACATTAAAATGCCATATCAGACATGGCATTTATCAGATTCTGACCAAATATTAGGCGCAGCAATGTTTCTTACACCCGACTGCAAAATTGTTTCATTTTATGGCTAAATAAGTATTATATTTACCTCCTAGTTATCTCCATTAAGACATATAAGAACATTTCGACTTCATAAAATAATTAACGATGCAATTGCACGAGTAATAAAATGCACATACATCTAACAATATCGCTTATATGTATTCAATGTATGTATGTATATGTATTGAAAAGTAGTTGGTGAAATGGTATTTCAATAAATAAGGAACTTTCCTTTCCGATGTAATCGCAATCCCTGTATATCGCGACTCGTAGGACGGAATAATATAGATGAGCGGTGGTGGGTTGTTGCAGTCGCATCGTGCTCGACTAGTCCCGCTTGAATCGTCGCCGCGGCCGCACGCGCACGCCGCGCCATGACTCGACTACAGTTCCACGCACTTGCGCTTGCCGCCGCGTTCGCAGTTACCGCTGCCGATCAGTCGCGCCCTCGAATCCTAGATTTTAACCCCTGGTCATGGCTACCTAGCAACAGCAACCGATCCCCATCCGTAATGGACTATTTTTTTCCACCGTCCAGAACCCCAAAAAATTCGAACCTTGATCCTCCTGCCGACCGAACACCCCCCAAAACTAATCCAACAACCATCGACGAAACACTCACAACGACATCGTTTCAAGAACGTCCAACCACACACGCTCGGAAATCTAGTAATAAATCGAAATTAAACGCGTCGCTACCGCACACAACCGCATCCCCGAAAACCAAAAAAATTGTACACAGAACTACTGACACGGACACAACCTTTGATTCTAAAACAACGTTAGATATAAAAATGGAAAATGTTGCACAAACCACGATCAAAGCGGCTATGACAACATCCACTGCCCGTCCGACAAAACATTATACGATTCGACCAATAATCCGAACTGCTTCAACTTCGACCACACAAGAAACAGAATCCACTTTGAATACAAACAGCGATAGTACTGAGACAGTCGCTGTGGATACAGTTGGAACAACTGATGAAAATATTAAAGCCACTTTGTCAACTACCAGTATCCCTGAATCGCGGTCTACAGATGCAGGAACAGCGAGCACAGCGACAGAGTCAACAAATTTAATGGAGAGTACATTAGCGGAGGAGCCCGACAGCCGTGAGGGTTACCTGCCTTTACGAGACAAACCACAGCAAACGCACGTCAAGATCAACGAACAGACTAAGAAAGAGGTCAGTAACATTTATTAACCTATTCACAGTAAATTTAACGTGTAAATTATTTTGTTTGTTTTATAATTGTCTAAGACATTGAATACTTTTTTATTAGAGTTTTTAAAACTTTTCTTAACCTTTAAGGTACATGTTTGAAATAAACCTAATCTTAGTTAAATCAGTATCCGATGTAGTTAAGTTCGAAGCCACCCTGTAATCCGGTAGAGTAATCGTTCGGAATATTAATGGAGCAGTTTATTCCCTATACAGTTCATAGCAGTTCTAACTAAATTTTAAGAACATTTGAGCTACCCTTTTATCTCATATATAATTAATCCCGATTTATACATCTTATATATAAACGACATATAATTAATTGAATGAGAATTTTGATATCTGAGACCAAATGTAATCTATACAAATAAATAAAATTGAAGTGTCTGTTTGAAAAAGTCAAAATACTAGCTTTTTACTAAATGCATATGAAAGTATATACGGTACTTATAACAAAAACACAATTTTTAAAATTTTTCTCCTACTGTCTGTCTATCTGTTTGTTCCGGCTAATCTCCGAAACGGCTGGATCGATTTCGACGGGACTTTCACTGGCAGATAGCTGATTTTATAAGGAGTAACTTAGGCTACTTACATTTTAGAAAAAGAATTAGGGTTCCACGCAACATAATTAGAACCCTAAATTACACGCGGGCGAAGTTGCGGGAAGTGCTAGTTCTTAAATATAATAAAAAACGTGTAGAGATTAGTGTTAAGATCGATTTTGTACTATAAGTGCTAATATTAGCATCCAGGCGCTGAACAAAAATATGCATGCTTTACAAATGAAACATAATATTAGAATGAGATGTGAAGTATATAATAGCGCAGCAGGTTGAGAACATTTAAAACATGGAAGGCATTATTTTATTTTCATAACATTATTCGAATTACTGCCTCTTTTCTACTCTGGCACATAATAAATAAATAATATACTATACAGGGTTATTTTTCAAAGAGTAGCTAAACTTTAAACTTAAGTTTATATATATAAATAATGATATTCCGTTACTGCAGTTTTTGAAAATACGAGTAAATTCTACTTTTCTTTTTTTTTTACAAAGTCTACTTATATTTGAAATTATCCAAAATTGAATGTGATTTATGGGCAACAACGTTTTTGTCTACCGATCGACTCCTACGAATGTGTGCGTGCACAGTAAAATCAATTAAAATAATGCATTACCACGTATTTGGAATATAAAAGATAAAAGGGGCAGAATTCTTGAGATTTTACTAATTAATTTTTCTTGCCACCACTTGCCAATATTAGTTATTCTGAACCTTCTCCGCAAATTTGGCCGGTTATTGCAAAATAACTCTGTATATATATATACAGGGTTATTTTGCAATCTAGTAGTACTCTACTCTAAGTACTTTTTTAATGTTCTCAAATATATATTTGAGAACATTAAAAAAGTACTTATGCTATTAAATTACTACTACGTTACATTTAAATACTGATTAAATAAAATGTCTTGATTTTATCCAAATGCGCGTGTCGTAAGTACAATTTAATTTATGCTAAACAATTATTGTAATAAGTTAGCAAGAGCGGCGACGTTATAAGTTAAAAGAGACCTTTATATTAGCAATATTTCTTTTTAAGACAACAATAAGTGACTGCGTTTTGAAACACCTTTTAACTACATACGAAACCTCACAAATTTTGGCATTCAACTTTCAAAGCATTTTTCATAAATCTTACTATTTTTCTATGACACAAAAACGTTAGCAATAATGAACTCCATTATGTTAAAGTCAAACAAAAAAGTAAGCAATTATCGAGTAAAATCACCGACAGTCAGCCTTTAAACTCATTTGCATGTTCTTCAACATTGAAGAAAAAGTACGATATACTGAAAGAAATATTAATTTTCTACATTAAGGGCTCGGTAGATGATGATAGATTATGGAGGCGAGTTTTTATTGATTCATTTACATGTTTTATTAAATTATAGTAAATAATTACACATCTACAAAAAATGAAAGCGAAATTATTTGTTATTAATACAAATAAATTCAGTAGAAAATATGTAAATAACTTAAATGCACAAAGAAGGAGAAAATCATCTATATAAATGAACTGTACATGAGTAGGTATCTAATAAATATTTCAGCAAAATTTATAACAACTAGTTTCCCTGTAAGACAATTTTAACAATATTTGCTTTCACCGATGATGATATTGCCTCTATTAGGTATATGGAGGTATTTTTGCAACGTGCATTTTCTCGATCCGGATTATCTCCTATATAACGCTGAGTCACTAATACGTTTTCAAAATTTTGTCGAAGCCGTCAATCTAACGAGCGTCTTTCCAATGGTTTGTATAAATTGAGATTCCAAAAGATGACGAGTTCTTGATCTTCTTTATACATTTTAAAAGTGATTAAATTAAAACTACTAACACCAAAATTATTTATTCGATAAAAGTAAACGATTTTGAAAAGAGGACTGTGGGAAACATTGCTGAATGTTTTGTATTCTTCATACAGTATTCTTTATATATTCCATTTTTATATAAACCTATTTGTCCTTGTGCAATTTATGTTTGTAAACTGACTCCGCGATACAGGAGAAAATCCCAGTGTGGGGGGTAACGTCTTAAAAAAAAAAAGAAAAAAAGATAATAAATATTTTTTATCGTCAGGCCAGGATCATTATCAAGATGTCGTTATGATAGTTTGTCCAAAGGTAAATTGTTATATTAATTATAACATTATATCCATCTGTTTAGCGCCATTATTAAGGAGGAGTCGCAAACCTTTCGAATTAATGGAATCATAGCAAGTTTTTATTCGATGTATTATTATGACGTAAAGTTGAACTTTTTGTCATCGATGGTAAAATAGAAAATACTTAAGGTTGTAAAACTTGCGTGCACTGTGTTTCACACCATCTCGTTTGATATACGAGGCTTATTATTATACAAGTAACAAACGAGTATCATAGTCCACATAATCAAAATGCATGTGTTTTGTCATACTTGAGCGCTAAGATGGAATGCCTTGTCGCCAGTAAAAAGCTATATGTTTACTTCTACTGGAGTAATATTCGCAATTTGTTCTGCAAATGTGATAACTCATATTATAATGGATGAGGCGCATGCCAAGTTGAACGTAAATAATGACAGAAAATTTTTCAGTTCTGATCGATGAGTAATCGAAACGATAATAATCGAATCTAATTAATCAGTACGCATTATTGTTAGAAAGTCGATAGTAGTATCAGTCTTGCGGATTCGAAGAGAAAGGGGATAGTACCTTCGGTAGGTAACCAAAGATCTAGGTTATAACAGCCGCAAACTGAAATAGAAGTTGGATTGAAAGTATTTATGCCACTGCAGTGTTCTAAAGGATTTTAATATTCATAGTAACTCTATATTTGAAGTAAAATAGTGAATTCGCTAGTTTGTTACAATACCTGAGATTTTTTAATTTTATAGGAAAATTTAAATGTTAAACAAGGATGGCATTTCTATTACATATTATTGGTTTTTGTCATGAAATAAAATTTTATATACCTATTATACTTCTATAATATATTATTAATCTATACCAATTTAGCTTAAATTTATTTACGAGTATTTGAAGCCGTGGTAACTCAGGTCAGCCATGGTAAGTACTGAGTGCCTAAACGCTTTTCGTAAATTTCACAGTACACGAGCAACCTGAATTCGATCCCCACCGGCATCAATCACATTGTCGATTTCAAATATAAGTGCTAATTTATCATGCGCTCGGCAGTGGAGGGAAATATTGTGACTGGAACCTGGATGTCTGAGAAATGCACAGGAATACCGTTACCGTTATAGCCTATCAAAAGGTTACTGCTCAACATAGATTTTCCCCGTAGATTTTTTTAGGATAGGGTGACAAATGAGCACAACAGTCCACCTGATGGTAAGTGGTTGCTGTGGCCTATAGACATCTACATTTATCCTCGTTTGCGAATCAAAATGTAGATGCGTTGTCACCCGTGAGGACTAAGATTGAATGCCTCTTTTCCAGTAAAAAGGGTCTCCGGTTCTCAACACTCATCATACGAAACACAGCAGTGTTAAGCTGCTATTTTACGCTGGTATTCTGTGAGAGCGTGGTTTTTCCCTGCTCGATCCGACCCATTCGTGCTACAACTATACTACTAATATAGCTGCAGCATGGCTCTACCACGTATAAAAAACGTAGTTAGATTACCTCATATGGAAGATTTTTTGGCAACCGTAAGTTTTAATTTTTATTAGTAAGACACTGCTGCTCACCACAACCCTGGTTACTGGTTTGTTTCTCTGTGCCACCTCTTACGAACACCACGGGACGATATGCGATAGTAGATATTCTCACATCGCTACCACACGGATAGTTAAGCGGTCAATAAATATGGACAAAAATTGTATGAAATCAGATAAGACAATCAACAACTTTCAGTTATTTAAAAGTATTGTTAGGTTCATTTAAAGACATGGGAACATAATAGTGAATTTCGTAATTCATTTACAGTAAATTAAATTTAAATTTACAGTGGTAAACTTATTACATGGCGAGAGTTGCTTTCATTGAGGCTTTTATCGCATACGTTTAATTGCGTACTGCATAACATTTATCTTCTACAAAATCGATGGCGACGGTTGAATGAAACTGCTTTGTATAAATTGTCGTTTTTTGCAATGCAAATTAAACCAATTTATGATCGAATTAATGAATTTCTTTTGTTATTAGTTTATTTAACATCTGAGCGGATTCATTACAAGTCCAGCTTTCACAAGCATAAACACTTCAACTTACTGCTAATTACTGCGTGTAAACATAAATTTTGCAAGAGCCTGTGAAAATTGCAGTACAACGGTTTTGATACGTGACCGATAGTAGTATGGTATGTGTGTAGATCACGGCATACAGTAAGCTTATGTGGGTTATTACTACAACACCATACATAAACGCACAATCGTAATAATTAAAGGC